TTATTTCACTTAAGAGTATGGCCTCAATGTGCATCCACTTAGCTATAAATATCTCTAGTTTCTTGTTCTTTATGGCTGAGTAGTGCTTCATTTAAAAAACAACAATAACAACAGCAACAAAAAAAAAAACTAATGTCACCGGGGAAAAAAAACTAGTGTCAGTAAATTCAAAGTGCTTTGTTATCTGGCCTAGAATGCTAAATTCATGGGGCCTGTGTGAACAATGAAAGCAAAAGAGAGTTGCTTTCTTTTTTTTTTTGGTACCAGGGATGGAACTCTGGCCCTTGTGTTTATGAGGCAGGGGAACCACTGAGCCAAATCCCCGGCCCTAGAGTTGCTTTCTTATTTGAGTAATGTTCCCTACAATGTTGCAATTGGATGTCTGTTATCTCATTGTTGTTATTTTTATTTATTTATTTTTAAAGCTAAACTTTTATTGGTATATTTTAGATATACACAATGATGGCACTTATCAGAGGGAATTTGCACCTGTACATGATATCTCCTGCCTCTTTTCCCCCTTTCCCCCTTCCCTCCCTATATAAAAAGTTTTGTTTTCATTTTTTCCTTCTAATTTTACTTTTTTTTCTTGTCCCTCCCTTCCTTTTATTGTTTGGTTTATTGAGACAGACTTAGCTTGGTTCAGCTTTGAACTTGCAGCGATCCTCAGACTCTGGAGTGCTGGGATTACACGTGTGCTGCAGTGCGCTCAGCCCTCATTTACATTTTAGATAGACAAGTTTCCTTCATTTTATGTTTCAAAAGGAAAATTAAATCTTCTCACTGAAAACAAGCATAGAAATGTTCAGGTATGCCCCAAATCTTAGGTATTCACTATATATTTTTCAAGTGGATGTTTTGGTATCAACAGATCTGGAAGGTAGAAAAAGGACCAGATGGAAAAGCCATTGTGGAATTTTTGTCCAACCTTGCTCGACACACCAAAGCTGTCAATGTCGTGCGTTTTTCTCCAACTGGGGAAATTTTAGCATCAGGAGGAGACGGTGAGTATCACTGTGCTTCAGAAACCAGATACCTGTGTCTCAAGTAATGAGAATTAAGCAGCATATGCTCTTTTTTTTTGTTTTTTTGAGACAAGGTATCATTGCAGTTCATTCTGGCCTTAAACTCACTGTACAGCCCAGGCTGGCCTCAAACTCGTGATTCTCCTGCTTCGGTGCCCCCAGTAACTGGGATTGCAGATATGCGCCACCATGCCCTGGTGGGGCTCCCAGACCCTGTTTGCAGGAGGAGGAAAGGGCCTGGTTGAGTTCAGTCACCTGGGAAAGGCAGGGAGTGGGAGCTGTGGGCGAGCAGAGGCCATTTCCCGTGAACTCGAACAGGAGAGCACTCATCTTGCAAAGTCCCCCGGCCTTGAAGGCCCAGAGACCTGCCATTCTTCAGCCAGGGCAGTGTCCCTGTCAGGGCCTCCTGGTCTCAGCCTCACTGGCCGGCATGAGGGATTGCAGTTCGCTTAGGGTGGGATGTGTGTCTGTTTACCCTGCCTGGGAGGAAGCCAGGTGTACGAGCGGGCCACGCGGTAAGTGCCACGTCAGAAGGAGGGCGGCTGTCACGCTCAGGCTGCACCAGCTTTGGGCCGCTGTACCTGCTGGTACTGGTAGCGAACACTAACGTGGGGTGTCCAGTGTGCAGACACCCTGTTGCTAACCCGTTAATCTTCACAGGCCCTCTGAGGCTCTTACCCCTTGAACTCTCGCTGTAGCCCAGGCTGATCTCGAACTCAGGCGTATTGGGGTTTCGGGCATGCACCACTATGCCCGCCTGTTGTCCCCATTTTCCAGAGGATGCCGAGGCCTCAAGATGTGCAGTGGCTTGCTGACAGTTACGTGGGTCAGAACTGCTTGCTAACCCTCGCCTTCCATTTGGGGATGCAGTCTGTCACGCCGCAGTGGCACTTTGGTGGCCCAGAGCCCCTCTGCTTAAAGTGATTGTAGAGGCTCTGGCCTGGAGGACTTCGCTGTTTCTGGAGTCCGGTTAAGAAGGCTGACCTGCTTTACCTTCCAGACTGTGGAGGCGGCCCCCGAGGCCACCACACCGGGTGCGGGTTGTTTACTCCTGGTACTGCGGGTGTGTGGCTCACTGTGGTTGCTCTCTCAGATGCCGTCATCCTGCTGTGGAAGGTGAACGACAACAAGGAGCCAGAGCAGATTGCATTCCAGGATGAGGAGGAGGCACAGCTGAATAAGGAGAACTGGACTGTGGTGAAAACCCTGAGGTAACTCGGGTTGCGAACTGGGAATTGATCTTTACCACCTGAGAGGGTTCACTGCAGGTCTCCCCCTCCTTTGTTTTCTGAGACAGGGTCTCATACTGAGGCCCAGGCTAGCCACATACTTGTGGCGATCCTCCTGCTTCAGCCTCCCAGGTGCTGGGATTACAGGCGTGCATCACCATATCTGGCTCAGAATATGTCTTTTGACTTTTATACTTCACTTAAAACTTTTACCTATGTCAGATACTCATAAGAAACTAAAGGATAAAAGCATGAAAATAGACTCTTAGTTTCTACTATAAAATTGTCTTTAGTAAAAGTGAACCTGTCAAAAAGCTGTGGGTACCACTGAAAGGAGTTAACAGCTAGGGCTAATGCAGTTCCAGAGGAAATTTCTAGAATGCATGGTCCTTTAAGCCTTTAATGACTTACCCTTTTTTCAGACAGTAATGGCTTTTTTCCCTCTTTGGTCTCCAGGGGCCACTTAGAAGATGTTTATGACATTTGCTGGGCAACTGATGGGAATTTAATGGCATCTGCCTCTGTGGATAACACAGCCATCATATGGGATGTTAGTAAAGGTAAGTGGTCAGGGGACCGGGGATTTAGCTCAGTGGTTCTGCCACCTGCCTCACAAGTGCAAGGTCCTGAGTTCAATCCCCAGTAGCCCCCACCAAAAAAGCAATAAAATAAAAGCATAATTGGCTTTAGCTTTAAAAGCAGTATAGGCTGGGATTTGTGGCGCACACCTATAATCCCAGCATTTGGGAAGACCGAGGTGGGGAGGTCCAAAGTTCGAGCCCAGCCTGGGCATCCTAGCGAGTCCCTGTCTCAGAAGTCAAAAAGGGCTGAGGCCATAGCTCAGTTCTGAGTCCCTGGGTTCAATCTCGAGTACCACATACACAACCAAAGAATAACAAGCAGAAATTTCTTTAGTGAACTAAAATAGTGGTTGGTGGCCAGGAGAGAGATTTCTCCTGTATGTCATGGGTCCAGGTGCATTTTCATGGCCTTGGTCAGCACAGTGGCATTGCAAGTCTCCTGCTTGGGTTCAGGTCAGGACAGGGCAGGCCTGGTCCCTGCACAGAGCCTAGGGTCGCAGGCGGACTCGCTGCTGTTCGTAATGAAAATGTGTGTGCTGATGCAGTTGGTGGATTCTGTGTCCACCTCGGGAGAGAAGCAAAGCCAGTGGCATCCATGTCTCTGAGCAGCCTGCTGTCCACTTTGGGGGAAGGGAGATGCTTGGAGGTCTCGGTGGCGAATGTCACAGCCAGTGGTCCTGAGTACTCAGGGTCTGGCCCTGATGGCCTTTGCTGTAAGACCTCTTCCTGTGCTACTCCTTGTCCGGACCCAAGCGCCCAGTGGGTGTCAGGATGCCATTGTCCAGCTCTCCTGGTCAGTTTCGTCCTTCTGAGTCCAGGTCAGCCAGCTAAACCATCCTCCCTCCGCCTCTCCTTTGTCATCTTTCTAATCGGTGCCCCACACTGAGGCACAATGATGAGCCCAGAGGCTAGCAGGCAGCAGGCAGCAACAGCAGATGCAGAGGGTTAGTGAACGGGGTGGGGGTGCTGGAGGCTGCACTTTATCGTGGGAGGGGTTTCTTCGAGTGGCTCAGGCCTTGGAACAGTGACTTAAGTCGCACACCCCTTGTCCTTTCCAACCAAAGTGTGGCCACCACACACCTGCTCGTGTGGGACCTGCTCAGTAGTTTGGTGTTTTCCAGGGGACAGATGGGAGCCTCGCTTCCTTCTGTGGTTAGCAGAGCAAGCATCCCGCTCAATGATGGGGTTTAGGGCTGTTTGTTGCAGAAGAATCGGGGCTTGGTAGATGAGTTTCGCTCAGAGCCTGGCTATGTCAGGTTGGTGGGATCTTTGTGCCGAGCACTGCGTCAGTCCAGTTCAGGTCTTGGAACCACTGGGCCACTGTCAAAGTTGACAGGAAACCCGTGAAATGCTTGGTGTCACTGCACAGTAGCTGAGGATCATGGCAGGGAATCTCAGGTCAGGGATGCCATCAAATGGTACTTTAGATACAGAAATGAACACATAAAAGACCTGGCTCACAAATATGGTGGTGAAGGCTTCGTAATTTTTTCTTATGCAGGTATCTCTGTGCTGCTGGCATTTTCTTCTGAATACCTTCCCCAAAGGCCTCTGCCATCCATATTGTATTTCTGTTTTTTTGAGACAGGGTCTGTGTATTTCAGGCTGGCTTTGAACTCTCGACCCTCCTGCCTCAGCCTTCTGAGTGCTAGGATTACAGGTGTGTACCACCATGCCCAGCTCTGCCATTCCTGTTAATGTCTTTTCTGTTGAGGCCCTTCCTGAACTGTGGACTGGACTGTGTCACCTAATTAGCTACCCGTCTTCTCTAAGCCTCAGCAGCATCTTTAGAATACAGACCACTTCCTGTTGTGGGGTCCTTGTGGCCTGCACCCTGTGCCCAGGTCCTTCTTCCGCACACAGCCTCTGATCCATCTCCTCTCTTGACCTGGTGTTCTGGGTCTCTGCCTGTGCGGGGCTTGGACTGCACCGTGTACGTTGACTCAGCTGTCTCGAGTGTCCAGTGTCTCCTTCTTGCTCCCCTTTTCCGGGGACCCTGGAGAACTAAAGTCAAGTACCCTGTGCCACCCAGGCCCCGTCTCTTCCTCGGGCCCACGATGTGCCGCTGTGTCCTCACTCCTTGGTCTTCTGAGGGCAGGGCTGTGTGGAATCATCTGTGGGACAGCGAGTAGGACAGAGCCTCTCCAGTACTCGCCATGTGACAGAATGGAATGAAGGGAACCATTTTTCAGCCACATTTATGTAATTTGTGCCCAAGTAATTTCTGGTAATGCTGTTGTGTGCTTTTTTTTTTCTGTAGGACAAAAGATTTCAATTTTTAATGAACATAAAAGCTATGTACAGGGAGTAACTTGGGACCCTTTGGGTCAATATGTGGCTACACTGAGCTGTGACAGGTACGTGAGTATTTTGGCAGGTTGTCTTTTCTGTGTTCCCTGGAATTATCTGCAGAGGTGCATTTGTCACAAGTTGACTGGGATGAGTCACAGTCGGGCTGTGATTTTGCTGTTCTTGTTTTCATACTGTCACTCTTACAACATGTTAAGAAATGGAAACTGATTAGGGCTGGTGCCCCACATAGTGCTTAGTAAACCTATGGAACGGGTACCCTAAAGCAGGAAGAGATGTCTGACATCAAGTAAACTTGGAACTACATTTAATTTCCCAGGAGACTTAAAGAAAAGGTCTTTTATCAGTATAACTCAGTCAAGAAAATGGGAGGATTGAAGTAATTATTTCAGTACAGATGTGTGGGGTGGGGTGTGTTGCTAGTTGAGTGCTTTACCACTGAGCAATATCCCCAGCTCATTTATTTCTCTTTTTGATGATAGTTCACAGTGATTTTAATGGCTCCATTTAAACCAATATAAAAATGAAATGTTTTGCCAGGCGTGGTGGCACATGCTTATAATCCAGCACTCTAGGAGGTTGAAGCAGGAAGATCACAAGTTTGAGTTCAGCCTAGGCAACTTAATGAAACCCTGTCTCAAAGTTAAAAATAAGGGTTGGGGACACAGGTCAGTGTGAAGGCCCTGGGTTAACTTCCCAGTACTGCCACAACCCCCAAAATGTGTTTTGCCTTTGGTGTTTGTTGATATAGTTACATTACTGAACAAATAGTTTTTAAGATGGGGGTTCCAAGTGTATTATTTAACAAAATATTCCTTTCACATATTTACTACTTACTTTTACTTTAAAAGTTGAGTTTAATATAGCCCTGGGATAAAAGCAACTTATAAGAGTGAGTGTTTATTTTCACAGAACCTCGTGTTATGTTCTGAATGCCATTTATTTTCTGGTTCATGTTTTATTCAGCCACAAGAATAAAACAATTTGATTGGTCAGTGGGAATACTGTGACTTAGCCAGATTTAATGTGGGAACCAAGTTTTCTGATCGAGGTGGGCTCCCTCTTTGCCCTTTGCTCAGAATGTGGAGACTAAGTTTTCTGGGCAGAGAGCTGCAAAATTCCATTCTGTATAACAACCTCCCTGTTTTTCTGTTCCTCTTCTGACCCGAGGGTGAACCTATCCCCTCCCCGATAGTTGCTAGAGATAAGTAAGCAAACCACATGCTATGCTAAGCATAGAAAGTTTGCCTAATTGTTTAATCATATAGGATGTTCTTTGGAAAAAGAACATAATGACCCCCCTGAATCTGCCCCTCCTCGTGGGCATTGGTTATTTCCCGCTTCCATCCTCCTATTCCCGTAAGTACCCCGGCAATATCCAATAGCAATAGAAAGTTAAAAATAGCATCAATAAAAAGGGAGAAAGAGTCTCAAGCCTCCCCAACCCTATATAATCATGCTTTGAAAGTGAGTCGGGGCTCTCGTTCCTGATCTGCTTAGTCGGTGAAGTACGAGGGTCCATGCTCGAGCTTGCAATAAACTCCTTGTGCATTTACATCGGACTCGACTCCTTGGTGGTCTTTGGGGACTCCAAGATCTGGGTACAACACTGTGGGTGTTTTCTTCAGTCTCATAAATCCCCGAAAGTGAGACACACTGCACAAAACACAATGCAGTTACACTGACTGCTCCTGGACCAAATGTCCAAGACCTAAAAAATAAATCTGGGCCTTATGTGTGTCTTACTTGAGAAGTTGAAACACTGATGAAAAATAAAAATAAAATCGTGGCCCATCTCCCTACTGCACTACTGTTGAGGTGTTAATGGGCTGGAACGTCACCTGTGATGGTTTTGCAGGCAGACAGCTGTCCAGGTGGTAGTAGATTGTGAAATGTAATTCATTCACTAGACGAGGAAAATCACATTTCTGTTCTTCCTTCAGGGTGCTACGTGTGTACAGCACACAGAAGAAACGTGTGGCTTTTAATGTTTCCAAGATGCTGTCTGGAGTTGGGGCCGAAGGAGAGGTAGGAAACACAAGGACTTCCTAGTAGTGCTTCACTGAGACTGGAAAGGTGTGAGCGCCTCGTCCCATCCTAGCAGCCAGATCTCCAAGGCCAGTCAGTGTGAGGCTGGCCTATGTGGGAATGGGGACACCTGGGGACAGGACGAGTATTGTGGTTTCTTCCTGGGAAGTGGCTGGTGAGAAATGTTTGAGAAGATGCTAACCAGCTTAATAACCCACAGTTTCTTTTTAAAAAGTGTTCCTTCACTTGGAAATTCTATCCCTTGGTGTTTTTTTGGGCTCCCCCACCGCTTTGGTACCAGGGATCAAACTCAGGACCTTGTGCTTTTGAGGCAAGTGCAGTGCCACTAAGCTAAATCCCCAGCCCTTCACTTGGAAATTCTAAATGTGTATATGAAAGTAAAAAGCAAAGGTTCCCTCGTCATCCTTGTGTGAGTTTTTCCCAGGGTTGATGGTGTGTGTGTTCTTACAGTTTTTTTTTTCTTTTTATTGAGTTTATTGGTACAATCTAGGTATACAGTACAGTTACATTCATCTTTGGGATTCTGTACCTTTACATAATAGGTCTTGATTCTCATTTTTTCCCCTTGTCCCTGCCCTCCCTTCACCCCTCCTCCCCTCCCCATTTACAAACACTTTATTTCCATTTTTTCAGTTTCTCATATTTTTTTCCTCTCCCTTATTACCTTTCCCCCACCCTTCCCACTTTCCCTACACCTTTAGCCCTTTACTTCCTATTTCACATTATTAATTATCTCATTAGGATCCTGTGTACTATTATAGCTTTTCACACCAAAGAAACTATTTATTTCAGTTAGAGAAATCTCTGTATGAACATTAAAAATAGGGAATCCTAAAATAAAACTAAAAAGGAAAGTAAAAGAGAAAAGGCAATGATGTAACATTAAAATAATTCTTAATTCTGGAGATGAAAATGGTCCCTGAACACATTTAAATTGCCTCTTGCTCTTATAGTCTTATCTTATTCTTTTTTTCATTATTTAGAGAATACTTTATTAGTTTCTGTAATCAAACCTACGTAGCTATGACCTTACATATTTAGTACGATTATATATATATATGTATATATATTTATATTTATATAAAAAGACTAATAATAGTATGTTATGCATTGAAAGCAGCAACAGCTTTTCCAGGTTCTGCAGTCATCTGAAAAAAATTATAGACATTCAGCACATTCCATTAAAAACAAAACAAAACAAAACAAAACAAAGAATAATATCCAGACAATAGCAAAGTTCTGTTGCTGTTGTGGTACCTGGCACCATTTTTTTTTTTATTAGCATCTTAATCATCATCTGGAAAGAGAACATTCTAGAGTAGTATCATTAAATGTAGCTCTGATAAAGAACGGTCCCTACTATGTATCATAAAGCAGGTACAAGATATTTTACATTCATAGAGCTATGATACAGTACTGTCCTACATCAATAATACTAGAATCAGTTTTGGTTTGAAATTTACTTTCTCTGAGAATAAGATTGCTACCCCTGTTTTTTGCGGGACTCCTGTCACATGGAGAATTGTTTTCTGTCTTTTCACTTTCAGTCTATGGGCTTCTTTTTGCACTAGGTGTGTTTCTTGTATACAACATATTGTTGGATTTTGCTTCTTATTCCATTTTGCCAGTCTATTTCTCTTGATTGGTGAGTTGAGGCCATTGACATTGCTGGTTATAACTGATATGAACTGACTTTTCATTGACATG